TAGGATATCTAGTCGGTATGGATGAATTGGACCAAAGGGTCTGTTTCTGTGCTATACGTCTCTATGACTCTGTGGATGGAGTATAGCTCAGTCAGTTAGCACTGGAGGGGTTTGGACGTCCAAGAGAGAAGTTGTGTTGAATGATATGTGGAGTGGGTAGGCTTTGGAAGCCAGGAAGGTTCATAGGAACTTTTTTGTGGGTGCCCCGATGTACACATCACACCCTTTCATTAAGGTTAGTAGCCCTATCTTTACCTCCCACCTTTTCAACAATTTGGTTTTGGAAACAATCTTTGCACTCTGGTTATCTGCTGTTCTCTAGCATTTTGTAACAATGCAGCAGGATTGAGGTTCTTCATTTTCACTCAACTGAGTGGTTAAGACTTCAATAGGTTTAAAGTCAAGCTGCCCAGTGGGCACCTTTCCCACTGCGAATACTGCAATGTTGGTACAAAACATTTTTTTCCATGAACCTAGGAGTCATTTCAGTTCTTCAGTATATGCCACAACACTTCTTATAGATGTCAACAACTTAAAAAATAAACGCTAGGAAATGCTAATTTCTTCTACAAAATCAGCAGCAGCCAGTAGAAATCAAACTGTAACCAACTTGAAAGCAATTGAAGACCCATTTAAGTAGAGACGCTAGAAGGATCTTCCGGCTGCTGAACACCTGTTCAACCAGGCGTGATTAAAAAATGGCATTAACTGGAGCATTGAACTCCAAAATGACAATGTTTATTGGTCCGTGGCAATAGGCATTGTGATCTGCTCAGACCGCATACTTCTGATCGATCTGTAATGCATACACGCCTGCTTGTCCTCACCAATATGTGATATAGCACAACTTAGTACAGAAGTGTGCACATGCACTCATGTTGTCATTTTGAATCTTTAATGATCCTTGTGTTACCCAAATGTTGTGCTGCAGTCTCTTCAGTATTAATCTTGTGCAAGTACAAAATTGCAGTAGCATTACCTTTTGATGGTTTGCAAAGCTTCGGGTTACAAGTTGGATTTCATCTCATTTATAACCACAAGTAGCCATCAATGAATTGCTGTCCTAGTGGTCCATATTTAATAAGTTTATTTAATACAGATTTCAATCCATTATTGACAGTGAAGCCTATTTCTGAATATAAACCACCAGCTCAGGTCAATCTGATGTACATTTTTCTCAGGAACTAATTTAGTGAGATAAACATTGTTAGACTCCATCAGTGTTGAAAGACTGAGAGAAAAAGCTTTTCCTCAGCTGCCAGAAACAGGCCATCTCTTCATAATTGTGTGACTCCAGAGGTGAGGCAGTTTAGACAACCTGTTAGTGGGAAGCTTTATCCGCCAGATATTGGTAAAACTTAAAACCAGATGTTAACAAGGTAGCATCAATTGGGCCCAGTCTTATTTCTGGCAACTGTCCACTTGTTCCATTTGTGTTCTTTACCATCAGCCACTAGGGAGGATGATGAACACTGAATAATCTTCTAGATGTTTGGACTGACAATGGTCTTGCATCAGTCTTGATAACACTCGGTCAACAGTGATTGGCTTAAATGGGATGTTTCTTATTCTAAATTGATAAACTGCATGATGTTTAGTTTGTTTGTTGCAATGGCTACACCAGTGAATTTCTGACATTGTCAAATCTCTGCTGCATTAAAATACTTGACCTCTTTTTTTTCTCCCTTACTATATTTCATTGTACTACTAAACATGGAATAAAACCTCTGCAGTAGCTCATATGAAAAGCTATAATAACTGTGATCCAAATATATGTGTGCTTATTTTTACTTTATTATTATACAGCCTTTTTCTATCAACTGCTTTCAAACATGCAAACTCTGTGTATGTAAACATAGTGATAGCTATGTTATTTTAAAGATACTAGTTATTTAAAGTGATGCAGTAAGGCTGATATATAGCAAATAACTGTCCATATAAAACTAAATTCAATTAAAACAAAATCAATGTAAAGGAAGAGATAACAAGGTGTAGAGCTGGATGCCAAGCAGCATCAGAGGAGCAGGACGGCTGATGTTTCGGGCCTAGACCCTTCTTCAGAAATGGGGGAGGGGAAGGGAGTTCTGAAATAAATAGGGAGAGAGTGGGAGGCGGATAGAAGATGGATAGAGGAGAAGATAGGTGGAGAGGAGACAGATAGGTCAAAGTGGCGGGGATGGAGCCAGTAAAGGTGAGTGTAGGTGGGGAGGTAGGGAGGAGATAGGTCAGTCCAGGGAGGACGGACAGGTCAAGGGGGCGGGATGAGGTTAATAGGTAGGAGATGGGGGTGGGGCTTGAGGTGGGAGGAGGGGATAGGTGGGAGGAAGGACAGGTTAGGGTGGCGGGGACAAGCTGGGCTGGTTTTGGGATGCGGTAGGGGGATGGGAGATTTTGAAGCTTGTGAAATCCACATTGATACCATTGGGCTGCAGGGTTCCCAAGTGGAATATGACTTGCTGTTCCTGCAACCTTTGGGTAGCATCGTTGTGGCACTGCAAGAGGCCCAGGATGGACATGTCGTCTGAGGAATGGGAGGGGGAGTTGAAATGGTTCGCGACTGGGAGGTGCAGTTGTTTAGTGCGAACCAAGCATAGGTGTTCTGCAAAGCGGTCCCCAAGCCTCCGCTTGGTTTCCCCGATGTAGAGGAGGCCACAACGGGTACAACGGATGCAGTATACCACATTAGCAGATGTGCAGGTGAACATCTGCTTGATGTGGAAAGTCTTCTTGGGGCCTGGGATGGGGGTGAGGGGGGAGGTATGGGGGCAGGTGTAGCACTTCCTGCGGTTGCAGGGAAAAGTGCCGGGTGTGGTGGGGCTGGAGGGGATTGTGGAGCGGATAAGGGAGTCACGGAGAGAGTGGTCCCTCCGGAAAGCGGATAAGGGTGGGGAGGGAAAAATGTCTTTGGTGGTGGGGTCAGATTGCAGATGGCGGAAGTGTCGGACGATGATGCGTTGGATCTGGAAGTTGGTGGGGTGGTACGTGAGGACGAGGGGGATTCTGTTTTTGCTGTTATTGCGGGGAGGGGGTGTGAAGGATGAGTTGCGGGAAATGTGGGAGAAACGGTGGAGGGCGTTCTCGACCACTGAGGGGGGAATTTGCGGTCCTTGATAAACGAGGACATCTGAGATGTACGGGAGTGGAATGCCTCATTCTGGGAGCAGATGCGGCAGAGGCGAAGGAATTGGGAATAGGGGATGGCATTTTTGCAGAAAGGTGGGTGGGAGGAGGTGTATTCTAGGTAGCTGTGGGAGTCGGTGGGCTTGAAATGGATATCGGTTTCTAGGTGGTTGCCGGAGATGGAGACAGAGAGGTCCAGGAAGGAGAGAGAGGTATTAGAGATGGTCCAGGTAAACTTAAGGTTGGGGTGGAAGGTGTTGGTGAAGTGGATGAACTGTTCGAGCTCCTCGTGGGAGCATGAGGCGGCGCCGATACAGTCATCAATGTAACGGAGGAAGAGGTGGGGCTTAGGGCCAGTGTAGGTACGGAAGAGGAATTGTTCCACGTAACCTACAAAGAGGCAGGCGTAGCTTGGGCCCGTGCGGGTACCCATGGCCACCCCCTTTGTCTGTATGTAAAGGAAGCTCTTGATTAATAGATGATATGCTGGTATCACAGCAATTATCAGATTTAACAGTAGCATTTGACAGTGGTAGAAGGACTCAGTTAAATTTCAACTTTCCAACTGAATCACCACCTGATTATTAAACAGTTACTGGATCATGAAGTCTGACAGTGCGTATTTATCATTCACTGGATCTGTCCAGATGTGTGGTGCAACATAAACAAGGCCAGCCCAGCTACTTTGTTATCCGGGGTGATTGCTGTGGTTGAAAATCTGAACCTATTGTATGCTTGATGTGTGAGTTTGGTTAGTTCTGCACTGCACCACTGGGTGGAGTGTCTCTCCATATTGAAAAATAAATCTGATACCTCTTATTCACCAAGGAACATTCACATCTAAAGCTATAATCTATTTATTCATTGTCTTGGGTATAAAAGAATGTTGTGAGAATTAAGTAATGTATGATGTTAAGAAGATGGGCAAACATTAGAAAACACTGAATTGGAAAAGAACTATAATTTTAAAATTAATTTATCTTTCTATGAAAAAGTATGGCAAGGGTCTTTAAAAGAGAACAAGTACACTCTAGAGAATTTTTTCAATAAAAATAAAAATTCCGGTTATTTTGTACTTTAACTAATAATTAAACTGCATGAATAGATGGATAGTTCTCGTTATTTACTAATATTGATGCACACAGTCAATTAATACAGACGTGTTGCTCACCTTTTAATGATTTAAACAGTAATGACGGACAAAATGGGGTTCACCTAGCTTAATACTATTTTTAACAACACTATAAATTAGTTTATATAGACCAGAAAAACTCCATAAGAAAAATAAAAATTGCTGCTGGATATGGTAATTGGTTCCATTTTATTAAGGAACAACTGCATGATCAGGGATTCTCTGGAGAATGATTATGAAGAAAAATAGTGTTCACCCTCCACAAAGACTAAGTTCTGCCACTATGCAGGTCAGTTATTTAGCACAACATGACTTACAGGCATTACAGTATTTGTTTTGGGAACACTTTAAATGCACAATATACAATGCAGCAGTGCTTTGTTAAAAGAGGCAAAATAAAGGAAATGGAAATCTATATTGTCCTCAATACGTAGCTATGCATTCCTTGTTTGTTAAACGTCTCACACCAGGCAATGAATCTGAATGGTGTCGATACGGAGCGGTTGTATGGTAGATTCCATGATTAATCAGTGAAATTCCATCCTCTAGCATCACTCACTGCCCTCTTGTGATGTAAGACCAGACGTACACTGCATTGAAAAGTCAAGACACACACTGCACACATACACCTACAAATTCTGCTGAAAGCAGAGGAGGGAGATCGGCTCATTTAGCAGAAGAATTTCCTTTGACATTTCTAGATTACGCAGCTCGACACTGGTTCTCTGCTGACTTACTGAGTGTGCAGTGAGGCAGTCACAGCCTTCATTTGTCGCAATGTCTGAGTTTATTTTAGCTTTGGTAACAATATCAGGATTATTCCCCATCACCAAGGCTGTGTCAGTTCTAGTTGATAAAGGTAAGGATACTTTATTTACTAGATTGCTATGCTAAGAAAGACTCTGACAAACTTGTGTATTTTCACAGAATGTCATTTATGACTATATGGAGCATTGCTGTATTCTATCGGGGAAGAGCTTATGTTATTCTGCTTAATTACTGCTTCTAGTAACCCTTCAGTGACTATCTCGTGAAAGGATGAGTACTGCACTAGTAGCTTAAAAGCAGCCATCATCTGGTGAGAATAAAAAGAGCTTTGTGATTTTTTTTCTCTCCAACTGTACGAACTGCTCTTGTGAAGAAGTTTAGCACATTTGACTTTAAATCTGTTGTTCTATCCCAACACTGCCCCCAACCCCCACACCCCGGACTTTGTAATGTTTACAAAATGTTATTTTAATACTTAGTACAGTCAGGTTAACAAATTAATATTCTTGCTGCTGCCATACCTGCTGCTGATCTTTATCAATTGAATGATTTGTGCCATATACCGAGAAGGATCATCTGAAGCTGTACTTGTGTACTTTACACGTCATGACATTCTTTTCTCCCTATGTGCTCTGCAAAAATGTGCGATGGAAGTTTTTTTGCATATAATAGATTCACAAAAGAATTCCTAAACATCAGAAACTCGTTTTAAAACATCAACCCCATGAATTCGTATCATGCCTTTACTTCGGGTGCAACGTGTCAAAATATATCAAATCTTGTCACATAAAAATAAAAAAAATCCAGGAATTCACATACTTCCTGCCACTTCCGCTATTCCTCTCATGTATATGGTTTGTGTTACATACTCAGAAGAACCCTTCAAGAAATATTCTCATTCTGTTTGTCATGTCTGAAAAAAATACAAATTTACTCACTTTTTGTGTGAAAATTAACATCAAAAATTGACGAATTATAGGATATATTAAAAGATATACCTTTGACATTCAGTAGTAGGTTGTATTAAACAAATTTTCAGCTTCAGTAAGGAACTGGTTGTGTAATGAAGTTTATTAGATATAGCTTCAGCTCTGTACTTACGCTGACTTAGGAATTTCCTGTGTGCATTTATTAACTGCTGATTGTTACGAAGAACAAGAAGTGAACAATTCTGTTACTTTATCTAATTTTCATTATGACTTTAACAGAATGGATTGTGTTAAATAGTCACGATCTTTATACCTTTGCCATAGGCACTGGAGAGATGAAAAGTTGATTTGTTAGAAATGTTTCAATTATTCACACATTTTCTGCATGGTGTATTTTTTTTAAATTTTGATTCCAAAGATGGCAGTGTGTTACTTAAGCTGAATATAACAGTTGCCTTTATTCTACCATATAAGTTTAATCAAGTTCACATAATGTTTAAAATGTACATTTCTGACCAGATCACTCAAATAAGGTGTAATTGAACACCACTATCATTATGAATCTTTGGAAGTATAGTCATGAAGAAAAAGAAAACACCAAAAATGTTTCATTGTAAAATATTTATTTTTGGAAACTCTATAATTGTTACATATGAGAATTTGAGTGTCTTGCATTGCATCTATTTCAAATCTAAATAATTACAGGCTGTATTATAATAATATTTAATAATACTTCAGGAATAATTACTGAATATTCTGAAAGATTTATTTGACGAATGAAATAAGGGAAAGTACTTGGCTCAGAATAATGTTCTATAATACAGAGGTTAATTTCAGTTTTCAATGTTTTTACATTGAATAAGTGCCCAACTCAAAAGCTATCATGGTGAATATAGGTCTGTGCTTTCTTTGGGGTCATGATACATTGATTCAATGTTATTAATGATTATTATCAAAGCCAAAGCCACTTTTTGAAAATGCAGACATAAATTTTCTGACCCTATCTTCTGTAGAAGATGATTGTTTGGGACAAACCAGAAGCTTGTTATAAGTGAAGAGTTTGCTATTACGATGTAAGAGATATTCTAAGAATCTTTAACTAGTTATTATTTTAAAGGAAGAGCCACACATAATCTGGCATATAGCAGAAGATTAATGGATGTCATCAGTACGGTAAAAGGGTCCAAACAGTTAATAGCAAATAATAAATGTAATGATTCAATGCTTCAGAATATTTTTTTTCCTTTTCTCTCATTCCTTTAACTATGTTCAGTTTGACATTTGTTGGCTAATGCAGATTTCTTTTTCAAAATTTGAAAATTCTCCAATGTAAGTAGGAGGACAGAGGTTGATAACTTCAGGAGAAAAGTCCATAAAGGTAATTTTGATTTCAAGTAAAACTGTAATATGGGGATGTTGCTCCAACTGTGCAAAATGGATCGTTCCTGATTTTCATTTTCTTTGAAGTCAAATGAAATGCACTTTTACCCAAAGCTCCGCTTCATATTGCTCTGACGTTTCTATTGTGCTAAAATGCATTATCTAATTTTCAAGAGGTAGAACTATTATTGAATTATTCATTCTTGTGTCACTTTTTGTTAATTTGCAATACTAATACCAAAATATGTAATTTAACTGAAAAAATGCAATATGATAATGAATACAGCCTAAGAAAGATCCTCAAAATTATACTTACGCAATTATTGAAAAACACTTTTGATCTGGTGGTTAACAGTGCTGTGAAAATCATTTTAAAGTAACTATGGATACATCTAGCAATTAAACAAGACTTTGCAGAAACATTTACAACACTAATTAAGCAACTACATTTTTGCATCTCATTTTTATTGATTTCTCAATTCTTCAAGTAATGCACTATGAGCCAGTCATCATCTAAAGTGGTGAAGCAACCATTTTTTTAGGGACTGGTGCCAATACTACTCTTAGATTAGCCATCAGGAGGTGCAAGAGAAGGTATTAAAGCAAGTAATATGACAGCATTTGATTACAGGGAGAATAGGCTCAGTGAGGTCAGAAACAAGGTCAGTAGTTTTCAGAGGCTACACTCTTGTCCTCAATTCATGTCTCCAATTGCTCCAGGTTGGTGCAATTGGAGCCCAATACCCCCATCTCCAAAAAGAAATTGGTAATCAGGTTGGCAAGGTTTCCCAACCAGGAAGTGAGCTAACTTTTTCACCCATAGTGGAGACCGGTGATCAGGGAGATGATGGTTGAAACCCTCAAATGGACATTTGTTGCCAACTTAATGGCATTAATTGCTGGCGAGTTTTGAAATCACCATGGACTTATTCACCCACCACTCAATTGCTGAGGTGGCAAGAAAGGGGTAAATTTCTTCCTCGGGCAAATTCAATCAATTCTTTGCCCATCTCATTATCTTTCTCATTACCTCCAGGGAGGGGGAAATGCCACTCAAAAGTTTTTCATTGATAGCTTATTTTCACAGTTATAAACTAATAAAGCTAGAAAATAACACTGTTGTGTTCTCAAAGAATCCACATAATGAATAGCATACAATCTGGTTATAAATATGGAAACCTATCAACAATTTTTTTAGAAAAAGGTGTAATATGATGTTACATTTAGTTTATAACATCACAACTGAAACAGCTGTAAAGTTCTTCCTAACCATCACCCATAATTTCCATTAGTGTCTTTGAAGGTACAGGGAGCAAACCCTAGAGGTGGGCAGCTACTCTTTCCAGCAACTCACTGACTAAGCAATCCTAGCTGGTTAGATAATGTTTTCCTTTGCTCACTGGTCAGTTGCCTTTCCAAGTTGTAGATATAGTTCTTAGGAAGAGTTATGGTTAAACTAAATATAGCATCTTTGCCAGTTTTCACTTACAGTGAAACTTTCCCTGCAATTTAGATTAGATGGATTTCAATTCACCACAGGCCTCAGGCAACTGGACCTGCAATATAAGTTCACCATGGGAATTTGAACCCATTGGAATAAACTGCAAACTAGTGTGGTAAATGTTGACTCAGTTGAAAAATACAAATAAGAAACAGCCCGAAATCTCAAGTAAGTAGGTAAATCGTTGCCTGTTGCCAAGGCAAAATGGAGATAAATTAATCTGGCATGATACCAGCCATGTGACTGATCGACAGTGTTGGTGATGTAGGCTACAAGCCCTTTTGTCTTTCTCACGTCTTGTGTATCCATGAGGAAAACCCAACTATTGCTTCTGAAGTTGCTAGCTTTTCTCACACTGATGGAATGTTTACATCATGGTCAGCCGTGAAAAGCAACCTTGTTTCAATTATTGCACAATATAAATCAGGTGGTGTTGGTGACCCTGGCAAAGTGACTTTATACTGCACTGCCAGAGGCAAAATGCAGTTTTGGCAGTTGCCAGTTTCTTTGTTGTAGCAAGGCTGATTGTTATTTGACCTTTCAAAACTTTCTCTCCAAGTAATTAAAATCACAGCATCAACTTTTGGACAGTTGTAGTTAGGTTGTTCTGGTGCCACTATTTTTTTGTTGCAGTTGTCTAGTGATTGCACCTCAACATAGCTAGGACCAATGTCCTCATGACATGGTTTGCTAATGTTTTTGGGGATGGCTTTAACAAAATTGGCAGGAGATTGGGAACCAATATGTGGCATTAGGAAGTTTAAACAACATGCAGCAGATAACAGAAGAGTAAGAAATATTCAAAGATATAGTTCTCATCAGTGTCTTCACAGGGAGTGGGAGTATACAATAAAGTCTAAAATAGCTTTACAGTGCATATCTGTTACCATATGAAATGTGGTAAACAAGGCTGGTGAGCTTGGAAATGTGACATTAGAATGATAACAGAGTCCAGACTCAAAACAGGAAAGGTATTCAGGAAAGTTATCAAAAATAAAGAAATAGGGATGAGGACCAATAATTTTTCAGGAGAATATCATAATGTTAGAGAGAGAGAGAGGAAGGTTTGAGGGCTGAATGATTGTATCTATTTCATTAGAGTCAACAAACAATAAAAGTACCATTGCACTACAGGATGAATTCTATGTGCCACAAATGAACAGGAATGACAGAGGAACAAATCTGCAAGAAAATTACAGGAAAGTGCAAAAATCATAGTTTAGCAATAAAGGCATATTCTATTATCTTAATATAGATTGGGATAGTAATAGATGCAAATGG